AATTTCAAATTTATGTCTAAATAAAAACATATTTTAAGAAATTAAATACTTATGTGACGTCGTATCAATATAATTGCAAATTTATTTTATTAGAAAAATGTCAAAAATATGATTACTAAAAATTGTGAAGTTTTTATATAGGTATTATTATACATATAGATTTTATAATTAAATTATTTATATTTAATCAATTTTTTAAATTAAGTTACTTCAATTAATTAAAACTACATAAAAATATATTTACTTAATATTTTTATTTTCATACATTTAAGAAATTAGTTTATTAAAAATAATACAAAAAAACCTATGCGAAAGCAAACATTTATGAATTTTAATTTATTTATTCAATCATGCGACATGTGAAATTTTTTAAAACAGTTGCGGTCCTTATTCAAGCATAAATAACATTTGCACTTAGTACACATTACTTGGGTTTTTTGACCACAGCCGACCATCTTACACCTTTGTCGGTCAGTATTCCACTCCGGCCAGTGATTAAAGCCATCTTCGGCTACTTCAACAGGAGGCAATTCAATGCGGCGTCGTTTTTTGTCTTTTTTAATATTTTCTATATTTGAATTTTGCGGTCGTCCTCTGCGAGTTGGTGTAAAAACTCTGGCATCTTCTTGCATCAGAATTTCTGCCACCATTAATTTAAAATCCAGCAAGGGTATGTACATGTCTTCACCTTTTTGTTTGGTTCTACGTCTCCACAATAACCAACTATTTACACAGACTAGGTCTATAAAATGGAAGAACAATCTGTGATACCACTTTTTGCTTCGAATTTTAATCCTATAAAAACCTAGCATAGAATCTAATAAGTCTACGCCGCCCATATATTTATTATAAATTGTAATAGCCTTTGGGCAAGGGATATCAATTTTGGCCCTTTTTTTCTTTAAAAATCTTTTCACCATTGCCATGGGTTCTTTGCCTACGTATGAAGAACACAGGCTAACAGGTTTATTGTCTACCCAAGTAGTAACGGTTAATTTGACATCCTCATAAATGGTAGATTTTTCCGCACAATATCCTCTTTCTTCTTTCATAATAGTTTTTTTTTCTATATTTATATTGGGTGCTCTATTGAGCTGAATTGTTCCTAAAGGAAGGAGTCCTTTTTTATGCAAGTTGGCCATCAAAGGCAAACTAGTGTACCAATTGTCCACAAAAATTTTATAATTAAGATTTTGAGGAACAGTGTTTAACAAACGCTGGACAATGTTTCCTGGTATTCCGAGGTCAGGGCAGTTCTCTGGCGGATCAGGGTGTTTTCCAGTATCAACCTCAAAATCGTAGCTAAAGCCACTGGCTCCGCTTAGCACATAATTGAGGTAGCCCCATTTGTGTGGTTTTTTGGCATTATAACGCCTCATACCAGAAGTACGTGCTTTGGTAGGAATCATTTGTTCATCAATTGCCAAGTATTCTTCTTTAGGCACTTGTAACAGTCTTTCACGCAATATATTAAGGAAAGGGCGTATCTTTTGTAACCGGTCAAAATTTGGATCACCGGACTCCAACTCATCATTTTTGTTAAAAAAATGTAAAAACCTTTTTACTTCTTCAAACTTGTTACAAGTCATTGCTGAAGCCACCTTTTCAATGTATGTACCTTCCTTCCAATAATGACGTGTTGTTGGAAGATGCACCACAGACATATAAATTATTATGCCTAAAAATTTACGTATGTCTTCTTCCGTGACTTCATTGTGGTTGCTTTCGGTGATTTGATCAGCATATAAGTTGCTCTCCCTTACAATTAAATTAATCGCTGAAGAAGGAAATAAAAATTTAAAGAAATCCATGGGCGCTTCGAGTTTCATAATTTCATTTGGGAGATCTTGGCATCCTAAAAACGCAATATGTGACTCGTCATACGCCATACTTTCATCAGACCATACACATTTAACCTTCTTTCTCTTATTTCCTGTGCGCTGTTTTGACGTAGAAGGCTTGCTTGAGATATCTTCTTCTTCCGTTTCATAAGGAATATATTCGTCGCAATCATTATCAAGAGCGTCGTCGTCTAAATAAATTTCTTCAAATTCACCTACATTTCCACGATCATCATCTGAAGCGATTTCATCGTCACTGCTCTCTGGAATGAAAATCTCAGGACCTGGGTTTCTATAAGTTTCATCATCCGATGCCTTCTCATCTTCACTACTCTCTGGGATGGAAAATGCAGGACCTGTGAAAAAATATTATACATTCATTTCAGAAAAAAAATCATCCCCACATTAAGTACGTGTAGGGGAGGTACCCCAGAAAAAAACATTTTTCATAATTTTATTTTAGCACTTTGTCGGCGTAGTAAATACACATATCCATGCAAAGTTTCATCTTTCTAGCGCTAACAGTTTGGACGGTAGAGCGAAGACGAACAGACGGACGGACGGACATGACGAAACTATAAGGGTTCCTTGACGTATACTACGGAACCCTAAAAAGACTGGTCAATTCGATGGGACTGGCTGGATTTAGCCCTCGCCATCCAGGTTTGAGTTCTAGGTTAAGATATAGTTAGCAACCCGTCCCGGACGCGCCCGGGGATGTATTCTATACCTAAACTTTCCTCAAGAATCCCTCTATCTATTGTGACCACCGCATGAAAATCCGTGCAGTAGTTTTCGTAAACAGACAGACAGATAGACGTGGCCGACGGCTTTGTTTCATAATATTTAGTGAAGTGATGATGAGTTCATATATAAATAATCAAAACTAGGACGAGTGTAATTACACTGCATAATGTTCCAAATATGACCAAGGGGGTTTAACGAACACATTGCATGAAGTTCCAAATTTGGCCAGTTAAAAAGCGCCTGGCTGCATTTTGTTCCGAATTTGGAACAAACTTTGACTGATTAATTAAACAAGATACTATAAAATATACTTACGTTTTTTACCATAAAAGCGCTGAGGATCCATTTTTCTGCAACACTCACACAGTTTTTTAATTTTATTGCAAGAACAACAACACTTATCGCTGTATGAAGCTGAGAAACGTCGGGCTCCTACAAAATGGCGGCCTCAACTGTTTTGTCCAGAGATAATAACGTTTCAAAAGACTAGAATGGAGGTTGTTTATAGTAGCTTAGTTAAAGCACACCTTACTTTTGTTTGTTGATGCAGAACGGAATAGATAGATGGCGTTGATAACATTTTACAAGGAAAAAATTAAAGCGTTCCAAATTTGGCACAGTATGCGGTAAAGGGTTAAGAACTGTATACTACGCCTTAGCACAATCAATTATAGGTTATTGTATAGTTGCCTGGGGTGGAGCATGCAAAACATTTATGATAAAATTAGAAAGAGCTCAAAGATGTCTCCTAAAAACTATGACTTTTAAACCGTTCAGGTATCCTACAAATCTGCTTTACCAAGAATGCAAACTGTTGACTGTCAGGCAATTGTACATCCAACAGTTGATCTTAATGAAACATGCTCTAACTCCTTATGACCCTGAGATCTGTCGTAATAAACGCAGAATACCGGATGTACTGGTTATTGGCAGATGTCCAACTGCTTTTTCTAGGCGACAAAGTTCATATCTATCCTCAGTACTTTATAATAAGTTAAATAGAAATCTAAATTTTTATCCTCTTTCCAGACATGAATGTAAAGTTAAAGTTCGAGATTAGTTATTGTCCCTTGATTATAGTAAAACAGAAAATATAATTTGTTAAAATGTGTGTAAGTAATGTATGTCGTATAATAAAATTATAAAATTATGAAATTAAAAATAGCAATCTTTGTTTAAAGCATATATTTATTCATTATAGGTTATAATAAATAAAATATATATTCTGTATGAAATTATATAATAATATATTCTATATATACATATATGTGTGTGTATGTATATGTATATATGTATGTATGTATATATGTATGTCTATGAGTATGTGTATGTATATATATTACAAATTGCAAACTAATTTTAATATACCTACGATTATATAAAATATAATAACGACTAAAGAGTCGCATTAAGTTCTAGTTTATGTTTCGTTGTAAATAAATACATTCAAATAGCTAAACAGTTACTTAAAAATGTTAAGCTTAGTTACTTAATTAATTCTTAAGATATATATACCTAATTCTTAAGATACTGTTGTCACACCACTGGGAGAGGCCGCTGATCCCTAAGATACAGACTTGTCTAGTTTGGGGATCAGAGTCTTCACTTTATTATTGTACTTTTATTTAAATAAATGATTATTATTATTATTATTATTATTAGACCATAACAGAGTGGTGAAAAAAAAGGAGGTTGTTCTATTTTTAAGTATATAGAGCATCGGCGTTCGGCGATTATGTAGACGCGCGCACGATCATGGTCAAACTTCCTTTGATGTTTGTCCGAAAAACCGACACAGCGGCCATTACGCTCGATTATTACCGATCATGGGCAGTTATAGACGAGTACCTATGCCCTCTACACGATCGTGATCGCTAGAATTCGTCCATCATGGCCGATGGTGTATTGGATGGGTTGTTAGATGCTTGTATAAAACTACCGTGCTTTCGTTTACTCTTGTATTATGACTATTTAACCATATAAATGGTATAATTCTGTCTGTTAAATGTTTAGTTCTTACTTCATAATTAAAAGTATAATTTACTGCATGTAGGTTTCCAAGCGGTGAGAGCTTAAAAGCTAAGCACTCGCTTAAAATTTTATATAACCCGCAGGCACTACTGACATTGATTACAATGTAAGCAACTGATTTGATAAATAAAGTGCTGTGTGGTAAAATGTAACACCTTACCAACCTACTTTAAAACTTCCCTTAATTTTTAAATACATTAAATAACTGCAGAATTTTATGTAATATTTTCTTTTATCAAAAACGTTTTAAAGTGAGAGCCTAAAACATAAATGTATGAATTTAATAAGTCACTAAAATAATATAATGTCACTAAAATTAAAAATTAAAACCAGACCGCTTCATAAAAAATGACTTTATTTGACAATGGAATAAATAAAGATTTAACGACGGCTGTGCGATGGCTCTACTTCCATAGGTTGGGGCTGCTGTACTGGGTGAATAGAAACCGATTCAACTTCGAGAGGAATAACACGTTGTTTCAATACAGCAGTAGTCCCTGGTGGATATCTGTACGAACCTTGTTTCTTACCCTGTAAAAACAACATTTAATATAAATATAAAACAATGATGATGCTTTCCTAGAACTTTTTTAAACAAGGAAGGTAATTTCAGATTACAATTTTTTCTTTCATGTGATTGATCAAATAACTGACAAAATAACAAGGGCAGAAAAATAGTTGACAAAAATGATTGCGTCTAGAAATAACTTATATAATATATTGAGTTTAATTATTTTTCTATGATTTTTCAAATAAAAATGTATTTTATTTATAGCCACAGAAAAAACACACATTTTTGGGAATATGAAAAGACTTTAATCATTTTACACTGTTGAAGTGTTGCCATTTACTATATTCATACTATTTTCGTATACACTGTAAAACTACCAACAAAACAAACACAACATATTTTTTATAGGAAGTTATTATTAGTAATAACTAACATTTAATGTTATGGCAACACTAGCTAAAACAAAATGTCACTGTATTGTACAAAGGCCCAGAAGCCATGCAAGAAATATACATTTATAGTATTCAAATATATAATAGAGATACAATAATCTAAAAACTCAATTATGTAGGTAGGTACATTATGTTGAGAATGTATTATGCTAACACCACACCACAGAACTCATGACTTTTCCCAAGTGACAAGACAAAAGCTAAAAAGGTTCAAATCTAAATATCGTTCTTTGACGCCTTCTCAGGACAAAATTCTTTGACAAAGTTGGTCAGGGACAGACGCTTAACATTTTAAGATATTTTTGATAAATAAACGCTATCATTTCTTCTCAACTAATTTTATATATGAAATTCTGCCATTGTTCTTTTAGTTCCAACGTTTGAATGCAAATACATCAATAAAAGTCATAATCACACAAGCCACAAACCAGTAAACGGCGTAAGTTGGTGTAGCCCGCGTTCAACTAATAAGTGGAGTTCCAAGAGTCAATCAAAATTTTATTTAAACAAGTATAAGTTTATGAGAATATACAAAACGTTCATAGGAGCCGCTTCGTAATGTAAAAACAAAAACCGTACATAAGACAAATGTTCATATTCAAGTAAAACGGTATCTAAAAGGACAATCTAAACTTATACGTGTTTTCTGACTAAAAGTGGCTATTTTCAAAATCCATATCTAGTCAGTTGCTTTTTCTTTATTGATCGTGATTTGATTAAACCATGTGACGAATATAATTTAAGATACTATAAAACTTACAGTTTTCATTGATTTTAAATATTTTCATTTTATACTAGCGATCCGCCCCGGCTTAGCCTGGAGAGGACCTATTTAATGTGACATTATTTAGATATGAGATAATCAAAGACACTTATTTTATCAATTTTTCGTTTTTTCCAAAACAAAAACCGTCAAATATAAAATATAGCCTAGATCCCTCCTGGCATTGCTTTCTCTATTCCTAAAGTTTCATCACAATCGGTACTGCCATTCTGAAGATTAGCCCGAACAGACTGATATTTTTTTTAAAAATGGACTGTTATTTCAATATTACAGACAGTCACTTCGATTTTATTTATATGTAATTATGATAAGTGTTAACCAACTGGTGGTCCTCGATATACTTCAAGAGCTGACAGTTCATAACGGACTACAATGTTTTGTAGTACAAGAAGGTAATGGCGATATGCCTGTAGTTTGACAAATCTGAGCGGTTGTCTTATATATCCCTACTAAAGGGTGCAGTGAAGCTACCTTCGATAAGTTCTGGACTACGCCTATAGAGCATAAGTACTGCAAAAGACGCGTAAGTACCGGTGACTACTCATATAACAAATCTTCAGCACAATTGAAGGGACTCTATCAGGCCCACTCAACTTCTTAACCTCGAGATGATAGTGTTTTGCTACACTGAACTCTGCAGAAACTATTATAATAAAAAAACGGTACATGTTAGGACTTTCTTTTGTATCATGGAGCCGTTTCACATACAAACTTTATATTTAAAAATGAATACATTTATGACATAGTATGTTATCTATAAATTAATTACCTTGATGTTAGCTTCTTCATATGTTCTCAGATATTGGGCAGGACCATTGTTGCGAATTACACATAGATCCACATTAGATCCAGAGCCTAAGTCATTGAAGATACCTGCTGCAATTGCATCCCTTACTAACTTTTTGCCTTCTTCTTCAGACAAATTTGGTTTCCAGCCAGCTTCGAACACAGCCATTGCTGCTAAAGAACCGGAACCTAATAATCAAAATAAAATACACTTTAATTTTGGATATAACAGGGACCTGTCAATTATTTACAAACGCAATAGAATATGCGGGATTATTGTAAGAATTGTTTAATCAAGGTACCCAAATGTCTAAAGCATTTTTCAAATATGTAAAAATATACGATAATTATTATAATAATGTGGCGGCGCTGCCGTCACGCCATAAGCGAAACACACCAAAACCTAAAAGTTCCGAAGTATAAAGATTGTAATTACAGGTGACGTAAATATCAATATGTTAAGACCAGGAAAAATTAGCAGCCATTCATCAGATTTATGCAACAACTACAATTTCAAAATACACATTAATAGTCCAACTCGTAAAGGATTTTGCATAGATCATATTTTGAGCAATATTAAAGACGCTACAACTACCTTATTACCACTCCATTTATCTGACCATGACACTCAGCTATTAACTTTTCCCATAAAGGGACCAAAAATTACACCCAAGTCACACTTTGTTTATAAACAAGACTATTGACTAGAAATAAAAAAAAGTTCAAAAATTGCATAAACAAAGGTCTAAAGTCTACGAGAAATTTGACGTGAACATGGCAATTACAAATTTCCATGATATGTTATGTTTTCCAAACATAAAAATTAAAATATAAAACAACAAAAATGGATAAGCCGTGGTCTAAAAAAAATAAGTTGCAAAATAAAAAGATATCTACGCTTTAAATATTACAATAATAAGATATCAGCAAATAAAGAAACGTACATGGCCTAATCTAAATTATTAAAAAAATGCATTAATAACTCGAAAACAAAAACTAACATTCAAATTATAAATCGAAGTATAAACAAATGTAAAGCAACATGGTTAGTGATATAAATGAAATAACGAATATAAAAAAAAGATGACGACATTACTGAATTAAATTAAAAAAATGAAAAACAAACAAATCCTGTCAATATTGCTACTACCTTTAACAATTACTTCATTGACATGATGGACACTGTCACAATTAACACTGTAAAATTTAAGCATAAGGGGACAACACCAATGAACTCAATGTACTTACAACCTGTGTAAGAAGTAAAAAAGGAAATTATGAATCTAAATAATGCTAAAGTGGAAGGATATGACACTATATCCAATAGCATAATAAAAACGTGCATCACTGAAATAGTCGATACCCTTACACATCTCATAAACTTTTCTGCAGGTATATTTCCAGATAAGTTAAAGCTATCTTTAGACAAGTCACTGTACAAAAAGGGCAATAAAAATCCAGCTAACTATCGCCATATAACATTAATACCAATTCTATCAAAGTTGTTTGAAAAGTGCATGTTAAAAAGGCTTATGGGTTTTTGCTCTAAATATAATATTATAAGAAAGGAACAATTTGGCTTCCAGAGAGAAAAATCAACGACTTAAGCAATCTTTAACCTAATAAATAAAATATTGACCAACCTAAATAAAAATTATCGACTGTACTCTTTATTGACTTATCAAAAGCATTCAATTTTGTGGCACACAAAACTCTTCTGAGCAACTGGAATCCCTCGGAATCAGAGGACCCCCATTATCATGGATGTCTTATCTAAGTGGGTGTCAACAAAAAGTTGTCATCAATAAAATAATTAATAATGATGATAAAAAATGAGTTCTTTTCCATCTGAATGTAGAGAATGCAGCTCTGTGGTCCCACAATGAAGTGTACTACAACCCATTCTATTTATACTTTACATTAATGACATAACATAAGTAACAAAACATCAATGTACCTTATATGCTGACGATATATCCATAATTGTTACATACAATAAAGCTAAAAATAATGACTCGTTACAAAATCACGACTGTGACGTTAATAATACTATGAGACGTAATAATCGAAATACAGAATTATTTAATAAGATGGATTGACATGTAGTCTCCTTATATATATTTTCATTATGGTGAAACATATGCGCTCTGTCAAACTTGAACCAGCTTATAATACTGTTTCTAAGCAAATAAAGAAATTATTATTATTAATAGTAATTTCTTTATTTGCTTGCTTTTATTTTTACATGGTAGAGCATGCTGCATCTATATTAGTAGTATAGTTGTAGCACGAATGGGTTGGCTCAGCCGCGGAGGGACTACGCTCTCGCACAATACCTGAGTAAAATAGCAGCTTGACACTGCTGTGTTTTGTATGGTGAGTGTAGAGAACCAGAGACCCATTTTACTGGAGGGGAGGCATACCATCTTGGTCCTCACGGGTGACGAAGCATCCACATTTTGATTCTTTATTGAGGATAAATGTAGGTGTCTATGGGCCGCAGCAACCACTTACCATCAGGTGGACTGTGCTTGTTTGTCACCCTATCCTATAAAATAAAAATTAAATAAAATTGCTACTGTACCACAAGGAGCATTGGCAGCTCCCCTTGCTTGAACATTTTGCCCGGTGAGAGAATTCCCCCTTCAGTTATGGAATAAGTGTGGCAAACAATAAAACACATATGGCAATCACTTTGATGGGTAAACAATTAGAAACTTTAGATGTACGACTTAAGCTTTGTAGAATAAGATAAATGTTTTAAATATTGTATTTTTGCATCATTTCTTTAAAGGAGAACTTTGAAGTTTGCATAATTTACTCTCATATAGCACATAACTGAGTATTAAATGTCAAGTATAAAAACTATGTCTGAGAAGTTCATTACTTTATGACTAAGTATTTTAAATAATTATGAAATCATTACATACCCATGGTAGCATAGGGCAGTTTATCCACAGATCCATGGGGGTAAATACAGTATATGTGAGGACCAGTGCGGTCAACGCCTCCCAGTACTAGAGCAGCACCAATGTAACCTTGATAGCGAAACAGCATGCGTTTCAAAAGAGTTGAAGCCGTTTCTACTGGTACAGTACGACCAGTATGAAGTCGCTGCAATTCTAGCTGCGACGCAACTGTCTGTGTTGTCATTTCTGTATCAGCTGCAGTACCCGCTCCACAACAGTACATATTAGCTGCCAAATAGTGAATTTTTTGGCAGTTTTTGTCCGAAACTACGGTATTTTCTGTAGCTCTTGTATCAGCGCCAAGAATTACTCCATCGGCATAAATAATGCCCACAATAGTAGTACCGGTTTTCGTTGCTTTCGGAGCAGGAAAACCTTTTTGAGCAAGGAAGGCATTTCTGTAACAATATTATCATAGTAAATAACTAATATTGAAGTGCTCAAATTACGAAAAAAGCAGAAAACCTACCGTTGACAATTTTCAAAAGAAAAGCCAGGAGCTGGAACTTCTGGTACTAACACTGAAGCCATTATTTTAAAATAATAGTAAATCACAATAGATATATGTCAAACAAATTATATTATTCTATTACAATTGAATACATTCAACTCATGCAAACAAAATGCAGAAGAGCAAAATTTACTAGTAAGCGACCACAGAGCACAGACTTTCGGTAAAAGCGTTGTCAACACCAATTTGTTAAATTCCCCGAAAATCCATTTCAAATTCTCCAATTTAGGGACAAAACTTCAACAACTTCCCCACAAATTCCCCTCAATTTTATTTTAAGGAATGAAACAATTTTCAATTTATTTTTGCTGTCATTTTTTTAACGATTTTTTTTATACTTTCCATATTGTTGTAACAAGCATTTTATTCCATGGAGTATTTTTAATTCCTTCCTTTGTTGCCATTAAAAAGCAACCACAGTATTTGCATTATGCATGCGTTTCTCTGCTTTAGAATTAAAAAAAATAAAGAAATGAAAATCATTAAAAGATACACAAATGTTGCCGAAATAAATCCGAAAATTAAATGTGGTGGATAATTTAAAAAAAGGGAGTCATTAAGTCAAGTAATCTAACAAAATGTTAAGATAAGTATTTAGATTTCTCGAAAAAAAGTTCTGAAATGGCCCGGGACATATCAATTTTCAAAATCCTTACATTTTCCCCGCATAATACCAATCCACAAAAAAACCCCAACTGATTTTAAATTCCCCATAATTTGGGGAATCCCCCACATGTCGCCTACGCTGTACGGTAGGTATATACCACAGAGCCGCAGCCCCACAGACTACTTATTACGAGGATCACAGAGCACAGACTTTCGGTAAATACCAGAATGATACCAGAATACATTATATAAAGGTGGTGTATACATAGATAAATATATACGTAGCAAGCTATATGGATGTATATACTATACATCACACAGCATAACAGTACCACGCCTGTCTCACTCCACGCTTTAGGCATGTAAATAATCCTATGCTGCGCAGTCCCCTACAAGGGCCTAATTCTGTGAGGTTGTCACGCGCGCGCTCGAGCTGACGTGCACCTTAGGTTAACAAAAAAAGTTCTCTCATAAGTATTTAGGCATTATTGATATTTAAAAAAACAAAAAGTACCATGTCAAAAATAGCATGCGGATGCTTAAATAACAATAGGAATGTCGACTTTTCATTCTTTACTGTTAGTAAGGATATTGAAAGGTAAGATATTATTATTTATAGGTAGATCTAGATAATTAGGTACCTTCTTACTAATGCCATAGATTTATTATTTGATTAGCGACCCGACCATCGCTTCGCAGTTTTCGATTTTTTCGTATATAATACAAATAACTTTAAAAATCGTTCAGTGTAAGTAGACCATCCAGTACTAGTGACTGCCAACTAATGCAAGATCGGCATATACTAGTTATTAGTTTAACACTTGGTCGATAAAAGAAAGAGATTGTAAATTGCAGCACTTCTAATTGCCACTCTTTCATTAATAATGCCGTTGCGTGTCGTATGTTTGTAAATAGCAAAAAATATGAAACAGACTAGTGACGGCTCCGTGACGCAGTGGCTTAGCAATAAGTAGCAGCACCAAGGGCCGCGGGTTTGAATCCGGCACGGAACAAGTATTTGTATGGCCTACAAATAATTGTTCTGGGTCTTATATATGTATGTAAATTGCCCTCGCGATACAGGAGAAAATCCTAGTGTGAAGGTAACGTTATTAAAAAAGAGAAGAAGAGATACAAGCAATGAAATTAAACATTTTGTATAAGCGACTTCAATATTAATACCCATTATAATATGCATAATTAAGGATAACTCCAAAACTACTGGTCAAATCTTGATCAAATTTATATGGGATATAAAAATTATAAGCACTAGCTTTCAAATAATAAAAGAATCATCAAAATAAGTTCACCTATAATAAAGTTCTGAGGTAACACACATAAAAAAACAGTCGAATTGGGTACCTCCCCCTTTTTTTGAAGTGGGTTAAAATAGTAAGTAGGTCAATTATCTAAGTTTCAAAGAGGTTTGCGTTATTATAATCTTAATTTTTCTCGATCATCATCATCATCATAATCATCATCATTACAGCCTTTCATAAGTCCACTGCTGAACATAGGCCTCCCCCAAGGAATGCCAAAAAGCACGGTCCTGAGCCACCTGCATCCATCGACTTCCTGCATGTCTTACCAAGTCGTCACTCCATCTCGTGGGAGGTCGCCCTACACTTCGCCTACCGGCACGAGGCTGCCATTCAAGAACCTTTCTTCCCCATCGGTTGTCGCTTCTTCGAGCTATATGGCTGGCCCACTGCCACTTCAGCTTACTAATCCGTTGGGCTATGTCGGTTACTCTGGTTCTACTGCGGATATACTCATTTCTAAGTTTATCACGCAAAGAAACCCCGAGCATAGCCCTCTCCATAGCTCGCTGAGCGACCTTGAGCTTCCTCATACGACCAGCAAGGAAGGACCCCGTCTCAGATCCGTAAGTCATCACTGGCAACACGCACTGGTCGTAAAATTTCGTTTTTAGGTTTTGAGGTATGCCTAACGAGAAGATGTGTCGTAGTTTCCCGAACGCTGCCCAGCCGAGTTGAATCCGTCGATTGACCTCTCGGTCGAAGTTGGACTTACCTAGTCGGACTATTTGTCCCAGGTAAACATACTCGTCAACAACTTCGAGCTTAGTGCTCCCAACAACTACCGGCATAGGTGTGACATGGACATTAAACATGATCTTTGTTTTGTCCATGTTCATCATAAGACCTATTCGTTGGGAGACACTATTGAGGACATTGAGCATGGTGCTTAGGTCCTCCAGCGATTCAGGACTATATCGTCGGCAAATCGAAGGTGAGTGATGTACTCGCCATTGATGTTAATACCGTATCCTTTCCAGTCCAGAAGCTTGAAAACGTCTTCCAATGCAGCGGTGAAGAGTTTCGGGGATATAACATCACCCTGTCTTACACCTCTCTGCAATTGGATAGGTTTCGTACTCTGGTTCTGTACTCGGATAGCCATCGTAGCTCTAGTATACAAACACTTCAGCACTTCGATATACGGACAGTCAACTTGGCACCGGGACTGCAGCACAGCCCAAATTTCGACGGAATCAAAGGCTTTCTCATAGTTTATATACGCCAGACACAGTGGCAAATTGTACTCATCAAGTACCGGTCTTCCACCCGCTTTCAGAACCTCCGCTGTAATTCCATCCTCGCCTGCTTTGCCGTTTTTAAGGCGCTCTCCACCATTCTAATCTCGCTCAGACTGACGTCCGGGATATCTTCGGAATAGTGTCGGATAAGACTCGATCTTGGATTGTTACTCACAGTTGCGTGTGGCCCCAACGAATACGTGTACAGCTGCCCATAGAACCTCTCAATCTCACTCAAAATCTCAGGTATCCCGGAAACGATGCTGCCACATACGGTCTTCAGCTTTGACAGTTGGCTGTTTCTGGCAGACAGATCTCTGACAAAGACTTTGGAGCCTTGGTTTCGCTCGATCGCTTCTTCAATACAAACTGTATTGAAGTTGCGTAAGTCCCGCCGCATACATTTGGAGATCTGTCTGTTCAGTTGCCTGTATGCTGTCAAATCTGTTGAAGAATGTAGTAGCTTCATGTCCCGTCTAACAGCCATGAGATTAAGAGTGTGATCGGAGAGTTTTTGTGTTCTTCTGCGGCGGGTCTTGTAGAACTTAGTTCCGACCGCATGGACAGTTTCCACGAGCTTGTCATTCATATCGTCCACTTCATTGCAGTCTTCTAGGCACTGAAAACGGTTTTGTAACTCAAACTGAAAGGTTTCGGGACTTTGGAACAGAGCACGAGGGGGACGGAGCGTTGACTTCATTAGACGAGACCTCTCCAACTTAACGTTTAGGTTCAGTGTACCTCTAACCACACCTCTTTGGGACAAATGGTCGCCCTCCCGGTGATAGAGCAAGTAGTCGGATTCGAGGATTACCGTGTCCTTCCCCTCTCTTCGGACTTCGTATAATCCTATAATATGCCAGCGTAACTTGTCTATCTCTTCTTCCAGCTCCACGATCTTCTCGTCAGTCCTCAGGGTGCGTGCGTTGTATGTTGCCAGGTCGAGTCATCTAAGGTGGCAACGGAACCTCCACCGGAGATTCTTAGCACCCCCTGCCCCGCCGTTACAATGGTCACCACCGTAGCCAGGAATAGCGGGCCGCCGGGGACTGGGGGCCGTCTTTTTGTTGCTCTAATTATTGGGGGGTATTTGCCATAGTTGCCACGCTTGGTGAGCGGGTTGGCAACCGCAGTTTTTTTATTGTAAGTTTGTTGTTATCAGGAAGATGCTGCTGCCCATCTTTTCTTTTTTTTATAAGAGAGGGGGCAAACGAGCATGCGGCTCACCTGATGGTAAGTGACTACCGCCGCCCATGAACAACTGCAACACCAGGGAGGGAATTGCAGATGCGTTCCGGCCTTTTAAAAAGGAGTACGCTCTTTTCTTGAAGGTCCCTAAGTCGTATCGGTCCGGAAAAATCGCTGATGGTAATCGATTCCACAAGGAAGTCGTGCGAGGAAGAAAACATCTTCTAAATCGTACAGTGGTGGACCGCCAATCATCCAGATGGTGTGGATGGTATCGGGAGTTCTGCCGCGATGTGCGTTCGTGAAATTTGGCGGCTGGGATTAATCTGAATAATTCCTCAGAGTACTCCCCATGGTAGATGCGAAAGAAAATGCAAAGGGATGCAATATCTCTTCGCAGTGCCAATGAATCGAGCCGATCGGAAAGGGCTCGGTCGTCGACGATTCGAGCCGCTCTGCGCTGGATGCAGTCAAGTGGAAGGAGCATCTCCTGCCTGTTTCCCTTTGTCGCATTTTACGACACCCACGGGAAGATATGGGGTAGTGGGTATTCTTAACCGCCAATACACGGCAATTTTTCTCGAATTTGCATATTAACTTTCTTCACAATGTTCTTATTTATTTATTTATTCAGCCAAACTAACATTACAGGATCTAATGACGTAA